GATTGAGGCGTGTGTGGAGCTGCTGCAGGAGCGCTGCCGCCGCCTGGGCTCCAAGATGGCGGAGCTGCTGGTGCTGCCCATCTATGCCAACCTCCCCTCCGACATGCAGGCTCGTATCTTTGAGCCCACGCCGCCGGGAGCCCGCAAGGTGAGCGTTGTCCCTTTAAGAGAAAGGTTGGGGTCTCTTTAAGTCAGAGGGTGGGCCCACCACACTGAGCGTGTGTTGCCCCTTTAAGAGGGGGTGTGGCCTGGGGAGGGGAGTTGTCCCTTTAAGAAGGGGTGTGGGCCCACTCCACAAAAAATGCACTGCCCTTTTAAGATGGGGTGTGTGGCCAAGGGGAGTGATGTTGCCCCTTTAAGAGAAGATGTGGGCCGTCCCAGAAGAATGTATTGCCCCTTTAAGGGAGAGGGTGTGGCATGGAGAGCGGTGTTACTCCTTTAAGAAAGGGTGTGGGCCCACTCCACAAAAACTGCATTGCCCTTTTAAGAAGGGTTGTGTGGGAAAGGGGAGTAATGTTGCCGCTTTAAGAGAAGATCCCAAAAGAAGGTATTGCCCCTTTAAGGAGGGAGGTGTGGCATAGGGGTTGTGGCTCCTGTAAAAAAGGGTGTGGGCCCACCTCACTGAAAATGTATTGCCCCTTTTATGGAAGAGGTGTGGCCTGGGGAGAGGTTTTGCCCCTTTATGAGATGGTGTGGGCCCACCCCACAAAAAGGCATTGCCCCTTTAAGGAAAAGGGCGTGACGTAGAGGGAGGTGTTACCCCTTTAAGAAAGGATGTGGGCCCACCCACAAAAATGCATTGTCCCCATCCCCGGAAGTGGGCACTTTTGAGGGGGGAACTCCCCGGAAGTGGGCGTGGCTTAATGAGGCATGACCCCCGGAAGTGGGCGTGGCTTCTCGTTTCCCCCCTCAGGTGGTGGTGGCGACGAACATCGCGGAGACGTCGCTGACCATCGATGGCATCGTTTACGTTTTGGACCCTGGGTTCTGTAAGCAGAAGAGTTACAGCGCCAGGACCGGCATGGAGTCCCTCATCGTCACTCCCTGCTCCAGGGTAACAGCGCCCCCTTCTGACAGACCCGGGAACACAGAAAAGCACCCCATCACCCCATAGGAACCCCATAAGCATCCCATAAGCACCCCATAAGAACCCTGTAACCCCATCATCACTCATATAACCCCATAAGAACGCCATAACCCCATAAAACAACCTCATAACAGCGTGAACACCCCATAACCCCATAAGAACCCCATAACCCCATAAGTACACCATCACCCCATAAGCACCCCATAAGCACCCTGTAACCCCATCATCACTCACATAGCCCCATAAGAACCCCATAAGAACCCCATAACCCTATAAAACCATCTCATAACCCCACAAACACCCCAGAACCCCACAAGCCCCCCGGGGGGGGGCCGGGGGGGGGGGGGGGGGGGGGGGGGGGGGTCGGAGTGCGGGTGACCTCACGCCCCACCGCCATCCCATAACACACCGCCATCCCATAATAAGCCCCCCTGCAGCCCTCAGCCAATCAGTGCGCAGCTCGGCTCACACCCCACCACCATCCCATAATACATCGTCATCCCATAATATCCCCCCCATGCAGCCCTCAGCCAATCAGCACACAGCTCGCCTCGTGCCCCACCGCCATCCCATAATATACTGCCATCCCGTAATACATTGCCATCCCATAATAATCTCCCCAGCAGCCCTCAGCCAATCAGCACGCAGCTCACCCCCACCGCCATCCCATAATACATCGCTATCCCATAATATCCCCCCCCAGCAGCCCTCA